CTTTCTACATTTACAATCATTCTAAATACTAGAACAAGTCGACCGTAAGTTATATTGTGTTATTTGTAGTATTTAAAAATTTAGGATGTGATCATAAAATTTCACGACACGAGTAAGTTTTGTCACACCAGATGACGGTTTGGATAAAAAGTATGGCTAATCAAACTTAAGCTTTATTTATCATCCCGAAAACTGAGGCTACAATCGGCTACTAATAAAATTTCATTTTTATTTCGCTAGAGAAAATTGTCTCCCAAATTGTATTTGTATGCAACAATTTTGACAAGATACTCAATTTACTTATTCTCATTTTTCTTTCTCATTCTTATCAATAAACAATTAATAATAAAAAAAACGTTTTCTACATTTTTTCCTGTAAAGTTTACTCCGAAAACACTCATATATTTAATTACCAATCATTTTAATCATTATTTTGCTCTATCTAAGCATATCAACTTTAGTTATTACATTTCCATCTTGTATCCATTTAAACTCTCAAATCTTTTCGTTTAAACTGTTACGTCCTTTCAGATTGTTCTAACAGCATTGATTACTTTGACAACCTTTCTCCGGACCAACATGCACCGACGTAATCTAGAAGATGGCTACATATATGTTGGCGCCCTTTTTTTCACGACGACCGTCTTAATGTTCAATGGGATGTCTGAGGTCTCGATGACTATTTACAAACTTCCAATTTTCTATAAACAAAGGGACTCCCTTTTTTTCCCGCCGTGTGTATATTCTATCCCGACATGGCTGCTAAAGATACCTATTTCATTTGTTGAAGTAGGAGTTTGGGTTTTCATCACCTATTATGGTATAGGATACGATCCCAGTGTTGCAAGGTAAAAGAATTTTGTAATCAACACATATATTTACATTTTTATTAACTTTTAGGGATAATTTTAATTTAATTAACTTTATTTAGGCAGTTAAAATGAATTTTGTCACTTTATTTAGATAACTATACAGACATGAAATGATCTATAACACATTATCTCTTTATGCAGATTGTTCAAACAATACTTGATACTCTTTCTTTTAAATCAAATGGCGAGTGGATTGTTCCGAGTTATTGGAGCAGTTGGTAGGAGTTTGGTTATTGCAAACACATTCGGCGCCTTTGTATTGTTCATATTTTTCTCATTAGGTGGCGTTGTTTTGTCACGAGGTATGGAGCGGTCAAAAGGTCAAACCTTTTTTATACTCATATTGATTTGATTTAGTTAACTATGTTTGTGTTTTTGGCTGATGATGCAGTGGACGTGAAAAAATGGTGGATAGGTGGTTATTGGTCGTCACCAATAATGTATGCGCAGAATGCAATCGTTGAGAATGAATTTACAGGGAATGCTTGGAAACATGTGAGTTCACATGTTAAAACTCTCTCTCTCTCTCTCTCTCTTTTTTTTTTTTTTTTTTTTTTTAAGACTGCCATTGCTTGTGTTTGTGTCCTTATAGGTTGTGGGGAACACAACAGAAACATTAGGCCATGCAGTTTTAAGGACAAAGGGTTTTCTCACACAAGCAAACTTTTACTGGATAGGAGTAGGGGCATTGCTTGGATTCATAATTCTATCCAACTTAGGCTTCATGCTAGCTCTCACTCATCTGAACCGTAAGTTTGTAATTTGTCATTTTCTTATTTGATAAATAAATAATAGTTGTGCCCAAGTTGTAACATTTCAATTTTCAAGTCAGCTTTAGTATTTTACTTTTTTCCCATAGCTTTTGGTAATGGCCGGGCTGTTGAGCAAGAAGATAGTGACAACAATCAGAATGACCACAAAACGGAAGTAAACCAGCAAATTACTGCCAATCAAAAAAAGAATAAGGGAATGGTTCTTCCATTTGAACCACATTCCATCACATTCGATGAAATTGTTTACTCGGTTGACATGCCACAGGTATTTTTCAAATATTTTAAAAAAAAAAAAAAAAAATTACTCCCAAGGTTTTAACCCCATATATAAAGGATAACTACAAAATGTCAAACTATTATTGAGTTTTGGAATTTTCACAAAATTCCAGCCAACTTTGAAAATTACGAAACCACCCTTGTAATTTACATTCTCTTTACATTTAGACTGAATGAAATTCTGCTAAATGTGTTGTTTAGGAAATGAAAGAGAGAGGTTTTGTTGAGGACAAGCTGGTCCTTCTAAAGGGTGTTAGTGGAGCTTTCAGGCCAGGTGTTTTAACTGCTTTGATGGGAGTTAGTGGGGCCGGTAAAACGACTCTCATGGATGTGCTGGCCGGTCGAAAAACGGGCGGCTATATTGATGGGAACATAACCATTTCAGGGTACCCAAAAAAGCAAGAAACTTTTGCACGTATATCGGGATATTGCGAACAGGATGACATTCATTCCCCACATGTTACGGTGCACGAGTCCTTGCTTTTCTCAGCTTGGCTTCGGTTATCACCTGATGTTGATGTTAAAACGAAAAAGGTTAGTTAGTGTATGATTTTGTAGAGAAAAAAATCTGCTTTTACTGTTACATTGAGATATATTACGCATTACTAGCGGCATTGTTGTGGAAATAGTTAAAAGGGGTGTTTGCAATGCAAAAATTATAGAGAAAAAAAAATCTCCGGATTTTTTTCTTGTTTCCAAATGAAATAAGTGAAAATGGGAATATTCTGAGAAAGATTGTTTAATTTGGCAAGTGAAAATTTATTATTTTTGCTTAATAAATACATATACAACTTAATTGAGAGTTGCTGATATAATTCAGATATAATTCAAATATTTGCCTCTAAAACAAGTGTAGATGTTTGTTGAGGAAGTGATGGAGCTTGTCGAGCTCACTAATTTAAGAGGCGCGCTAGTTGGTTTACCAGGGATCAATGGTCTCTCGACCGAGCAGAGAAAAAGGCTCACAATAGCAGTCGAGCTCGTAGCAAATCCATCAATTATTTTTATGGACGAGCCAACTTCTGGTCTCGATGCACGAGCGGCTGCAATTGTGATGAGGACAGTTAGAAATACAGTTGACACGGGAAGAACAGTTGTTTGCACCATACATCAGCCTAGCATCGACATCTTTGAGGCTTTTGACGAGGTGAAAAAGAAAAAGTTATTTCATTTTTGCCACTGCCCTCATTTTTTGTAATTTTGAAGTTAATTGAGTTCGGCCAAAACTTCGAGGTTTAATTATTGTAATTTTGTGGTCTCTTTCTTTATGGCAGCTATTGCTACTGAAACGAGGAGGTGAAGAGATATATGTGGGGCCATTGGGCCATCATTCATGCGATCTGATCAAGTACTTCGAGGTGAGTTTGCTAAATACTAAATAAAGAAAAATAAATAATAAATGAGATATCTTTACCAATTTTGGAGGGAAGTTTGAAGAGGTTAATTTTCTTTCATATAAAGGGAATTCAAGGAGTTCATAAAATCAAAGATGGTTACAATCCAGCAACTTGGATGCTCGAAGTTACTGCTCCTGTCCAGGAAATGGCCTTGGGGATCGATTTTGCTCAAGTGTATAAAAATTCCAGATTATACAGGTTAGCTGTTTAAATCAATTTTGACAAATAAATACATGATTTTGGAATAATTATAAAAATTACCCTAGATGTTGTACATAATGAAAAATACAGAACAGAAAAAAATTATATTTGGAGAATATTACTTCTAAGTAATTTGAATTAAATTTTATTTGTTTTTAATTCAATTCCCAAACTTCATATTTTTGTTTATTTTTTTTAGTTATCCACATTTCTTAACAAATATGCCTTTATCAAGGACGCTGTTTGTAAATGAAAACAGTATTGGAAGGACATATTCAAATATTAAACGGACATATGTCATTTTATTTTACCACCCTAATCCCGCCACAAAATTTGTTTGATCTATATATTTTACGACAAATATGAAATTATTTTTAAAGGAGGACCAAAACTCTAATCCGCGAACTAACTACGCCAAACTCCGGAAAGCAAGAGCTAAGTTTTCCGAGCCGATACTGCCAGCCATTTCACATGCAATGCATTGCCTGCCTATGGAAACAGTACTGGTCCTACTGGCGCAACCCGTCTTACACTGCCGTTAGATTCCTTTTCACAACTTTTGTCGGCCTAATCTTCGGGAGTATGTATTGGGACCTCGGTTCTAATAG